AAAAACAAGGAACAAAAGGTGAGGTGAAGAAGATCGCTTGTCGGTGATTCTACACGGATTTGCCCGCATTCTCCATCAGTGTAACAGGGTGAAGAGTCACACGACAAGTAATCTCAATCAATACCCCGGAGGGTGGATTTATTGGGGTGATGGGTGCTAGTGAGAAAAGTCCAGGTAGGTGCTCCGGTGCCGTGAGTGCCCTCTTCCGTCTTCCCAGTGCAGAGGGTCCGTGCAGTGCTCATGTGGGGCTGGTCGGTCACACGCTGCTTTCTGTGGGAAAAATGAGAGGGCAAGTTAGTGCTCAGTCTCATGGAGGAATCTCCTAGATGGCAGGGCTTGCGTGGTTTATGTAGCCGCCGCCTGATGAGGTGCAGCTGTGACCGATCAGCCTGTGATGATGATGGCCAAGTGCTCCTCGTTTGTTTCCAGGGCGACGCTGATGAAGCTTCGGGACGCTCGTCACAATAGATAAGATCCCTAAAGTTGCAAAGACTAAAGTCTCAAACCCAAAGAGATATTCTTTATAAAAGTTAAGACTTCCAGAAGAGTTCAAACCAAACATTCAGATGTGTGCAACGCATTTTACGGAGGACGAGGACTGTTTCCTGGGAGAGTAGCCTACAATGTCAGTGTTCCGGTGAATTCAGTTGCCCTGTTTCCCCTTCGGTGTGCATGCTGACCCTATACAGTCTATGTTGCTGACAAATAATGCTGACTCACAGCCTGTAAGTACGTTTTCATATTTAAAGGATTTGCCACTGACGATTTAGCAACGTCATATGACCCCTTTAATCTTGAGTACCTATATAGTAGTATTGCATCCTTCATATCTCCGAAGGGTGTTTAGTTTTTATCAGATTTATAGAAGAATGACTCTCTGAAAACAGCCCAAGCTCCTGGAGGCGTGCCGTGGGCGGAGCTAAAGAGTCGCAAGCACTTGCGTGCCGATTGCCAACGAAACACAGAAATTTGAGGCAGTTTTACTTACTGCCTGTGGTTCCAGCTCATGACCGGGACCTTTTATCGCTGGGACCACTCCATCTTTCAGTTTCAAACGAAGTGCAAATCCAGCGTCGAACTTGGCCTTGTTTATAAAACATTTGTCACCGAAATGACAGGAACAAACAAACACACTTGCGAAACTCTGTTGCTGTCCTGGAAAAACAAACTGCATCCACTGTTTTATCACTGCATTATGGTAGAATTCTTTACTGTGGATTCTATCATTACATACTGTACACTACCATTTAAAGGTTTGGGGTGAGTAATATATTTCTTTAAAGAAATTGTTACAATTATTCAGCAAGGACTTTTTTGCTGAACTTTCTATTCATAAAACAATTCTGGAAAAAAAGTATCATTGTTTCCAAAAAATAATACGCAGCGTTATATGATTACACTGCTGAAAATTAAGCTTTACCATCACAGGAATAAATAATATTATAAAATATATATTAAAATAGAATACATTTATACATCTATTTATAAATATACAGCTATATATTTCATATAAATATGATCACAAATATATAAATAATATATAAGTTGAATCACTCACTGAATCATTTGAAGCAAATTAACTGTCTAACTCAGGGGTCACCAAACTCAGTCCTGTAGGGCCACTGTCCTGCAGAGGAGAAACTCTGACCCCTGGTCTAACTGATTCAGTGAATGGTTCAGCTTATTTACTGAGCTGGTTGAATTTTTCAGACGGATTTGCTAACCTGTTTGCCTGATTTATTCAAAAGAACCAATTAAAAGAGTGATTTGTCATCACTCTCTAATTCTGTTTATAAAAAGCTTGCCCAAAACACCTGACACAGTTTGATTGCTGAAATATTGCTACGGAAATGTAACACTGTGGTACTTGATTATTTTAACATACGTGCATGTTCACTGGTGGCACAGCAAAATTATTGCAAATCCTTAAATATTCAACATTTATTTGGAGGAACTATGCCATAGTGCTATTAGTAAGTGTTGAATCACAGTAATGTAGAGAGCACTTACAGAAAGAGCTGTAAAGAGTGAAGAGCAGAAGGTGTAGAGTGGGGGTGTTTAACTGAAGTGTTCGGCTGCAGCACCATAGGTTGACCTCTATTTTCTTGTTTATTTTGGACTTTCTTTCTTTCATGCACTCACACATACATATAAGAATAGTTGAGATAGGCTCTCAAACGGGACAGGGGGACCCCTGCAGATGGAGGTGGGCGTTACATCCGCCCAGTGAGTCATCAGTGCTAAATTTACCTAAATCACTCATGCTCACATGCAAACAAACGCATAATTGTTTTTATGATCATTGTCTTTATCATTATTACCATCACAGGCTTCTATAGGAATTAACCACTACATTAACCTTCCCATATGGTCAAACACATAGGAAGATGAGAGGTCAAAAAACAACGTTATGTAACGTCAGTAATTTTCAGGGCACAGTCTGACATGGTAGAGCATGGCACTAGCAAAACCACATTGGATAAAAGTGTCTGCCAAATGCATAAAAATAAAGTATTTTGGTATTTCCAGTGCAGTTAGACAAGCTTAAAGCAATAGTTCACCAAGAAATGGAATATTGTCGTCATTTACTCACTTGTTACAAATCTGTATGACTTTCTTCTGTGGAACACAAACAAAGATATTTTGAACAGTTTTGGTGACCACTGACTTTAATTGTATGGACAAAAAAAATTATATTGTATTACTCTTCTTTTTTTTTTTTTTTTTTGCGTTCTACAGATTCAAAGAAATTCACACAGGATTAGAGCATGTGATTAAATGATGACAGAATAGTCATTTTTGACTTTTGATGATTTGATTTTTCACAAGCCCTCTTTTGCACCATCCCTGTTGAAATTATCCAACTTTTGTGGATATTAAAACATTTCTGGAGAATCAAGTTTGAATATTCCTTAATGGAAGAAATAGAATTAAAACTGATTTGAATGTGTACTTTTTAGAACATAGCGTTTGTTTTGTCTTTGTGTGGTCCAAGTCTTAATTAGGGGGATCAGACTTGCCTTATTAATTGTAGGTAGACAACAATTTTTTGAATTTTTTTTTTTTTTTTTGCAAAAGAAAAATACCTAAGCACTAAAACTGTATTTGTATTGGGTTTTATGTAATTTTTTTGGCTATGAGAAGTTATGAGACAGAATGCATGAATTGCTTTATATCTGAGAAGACATCAGATTCAGATTATACTGAATGACTTGAAATTCCACCCTCATGTTTTTCTTTTTTTTTTTTTTTTTTACTATTTGCGTTGAATCTTGTAAGGTTTTATTAATAGATAACAGATAATGTTTATAGTGGTGTTTTTGTTGTTGCTGTTGTTTCAAGCACATTCACAGACATAAAAGACTGTGTGTGGAGAAAAAAAAAGTGGAGTTTGTCTCCACTATGTTCTAAATAGTTATATTGTGTTACTTGCAGAATCTGTTTGTTGGTACAAATACACCAAGCAAGAGCAGGATCAATATTAATATACACCCTCGCTGTTAGTTTATATGATTATTTTGTCCTAAATGTTTTATTTTATAAATATGCGCTTTTCTGTATAGATTTCTGCTTAAAGTCTTGCTCATAAATATCAAGAGTGACACCAGCGAGGCCCTGTTTGCTCCCTCACCTGCTCCCCTGGTCATCCAGAGCACTTCTGCTCTTTAGACCTGCTGACACAGATTATTTATGTGGCTCATTTAGCCTGACCCTCCCTCCTCCCCCAGTCCAACACACACACACATATGAGCCTCTGCAGCAATCAGACGCCCCGTCCAGACGCTCATTAGAGAATCACGCTCACTCACACACATATTATTAAGCCATCTGCAAGTGAGTGATTTTTAGGAACAAATTCCATTGCCAAACTCACAAATGTTCACCTTTTTGTAATCAAATGCAGATGCACTCTGGCACGGAGACTGTATGGGGGTCTACCTCCATCCTGTAGTCCTCTGGTACTCGACTGGCAGATGCTGCAGTGCTCCTCCCATCCTTGAGCTTCTGGTTGCTGCTCCAGCTGCTCCATCTGTTCTGCCTAGAGCTCTAGGCACCTCTCATTCCCCACTACACATACCTGTACCTACTGCTGCTAAACTTGCATATACACATTCAAAATGGCTCATTTTTGTGTTTTTTAGTCTGTTTTGGGGTTTGAAAATAATTGTCTATGAATTAAGTAAAAAAGAGGCTGAAGTGTATGTAAACATACAGTACACATTCACAGACGTCTCTCTCTGCATGTGGTTTTGTTTGTTTACCTCAGCTCTAACCACAACGCTTCTGCGCAGCAAGAGCAAAGTCTCGCCCTAGTCCTCTCCAGATTGCAGCTCCCCCCCTCAACCCCCTGCCAACTCGGCAATTGCTCCAAGCTAAGCTGAGTCACTCTCTAACGTCGTACCCTCTCCCGGCCGTTCGACTCTCTGGGAGAACAGAGCGGAGAATGGCGGCAGTAATTAAGCCGTGCGGTGGGGGGCTGGGTTTGGACGGATTGAAGTGCCGGGTTTTCGGGGGGGGAGAGAAGGCCACTCCTGTAGGGCAGAGCTGCGATGCCATCTGTTGATCGGGATCTCGGAGGGAACGGGGCGGCTAGGTCTGACGGAGCCGAACCAGCACACCTGCAGAGAAATTCTCACACACCTAGACACGTTGAAACCACTGCGCTGTGGTGCCATGGCTGTGTCAGCAACAACCAAGCCTGTGGCAGTCTGTTATGCTACAAAAATCACAAAACACTAAAGCTCTGCATTGAGACAATAAGTAGAGCAGCATAGCAATCCTTTTAAACTATTTGTGTGTACTAAATTAGCATAACAGCACTTGTATGTGCATATTTATGTACCCTGCATTTTTGTTAAGGATGTCAAGTAATTAAACCTTTTATTTTATTTATTTTATGTTATACTTAATGATACGCTGACTGTTAATCAAATTAAGATCATCAAGTGACATTAAATTATATTTGGCAGATGAGTAAATCATTGAATAGTCATTTAGCTAACGTGGCTTTAGAAGTCAGTATATTATTGTTTTATTTCCATATCATTGAACAACAGCTCATCACTGACCTACAATAATAGCGATCCATTTTGCAATAGAGTTAATAGAGTTAAAGTTGATAATATTTGTTTAATTATTGGTCTATATGCAATGTCTTTTTATCAGTGTTTTTATTCTTATATTATTTGTATATATGGTTTTTATATGATTAATTTTAATGAACTCCCTAATTTTTATTTATAATATGATCCTTTATCCGTACTGTATATAAAGATCAGTGCACAAGTTCTAGAAATTTTTAATTAAAAAAATTATTAAACATATAATATTATATTATTTTATGTAATTATATACTTTTTATACTATTAATTGTATTAAATTAACTCCCTGATTTGTATTTTTATTTATAACTATATAACAATTCACCCGTATATATATATAAAGATCAGTGCACAAGTGCTAGCAAATATGCACGCCTGATACACTCGTGTGTGTGTATGAGTGTTTGTAGATGTTTTGATTCTGCTATTGGCCTTCCCTCTGGTATTGTGTGTGTTGTGTGATGATGGGCTTTGAGTAATACTCTGGTGTCTGTCAGCGTGCATTAGTGACATTTGTTAACGTCATGCCCTACTTCCACTGCTCCGCAAAGCTGTAGAGGTGCACATCTCACTGGAGAAAAGCCTGACTTAACGATCACCGTTAATGAGCACCACCAACAACATCAGTTATGCTCAAATTTCAGAGTGTTGTAAAGCTGCAAAGCTACAGGGACTGTTAAATACAGTATGTTGAACAAAGTCATGAATGATGGGATGTTGAAGCATTGTTTCGAGCTATAAAAAGTTGATGAACAATGTATGATGATGTTCAGCTGTTTGAAATCATTTTATTGGGACTTGTACGAAGGATGCCAGATATCTCAGCCGACTTGGTGTTAGGTGAATAAGTCGAGTTTATAAAATTGTATCTATTGACAGTTCAGACAGAATATAGATTCTGTTCTCTGTTGTCAGGCTGCCACAAAAGGGTACTTGACGGGGGTAAAGAACTGAATGTTTTCTCTCTCTCTTTTGCTTTTGCTTTAGTGCTGTGTGATGCTCAGACACACACACACACACACGGGGTGGCAGGTGTGAGAGGCTGGGTTTGATGTCACATCGGGGGCCAGTCCCTTCACTATTAGGCCGAGCAGACCACCTGTCTGGCTCTTGGATGAAGAGCTGTGCTTCAGGCCTGCCGGACTCATTAAGGCCCCGCGAGCAATTACTGCCTCCTCCTGCCGAGAAATCGACCCCATGCCCTACTGAAGCTCAGCTGAAATCCCTCAATCCTCTCCTCACTACCTCCTCATCTTGTGTTTTACCAATTCACAAAAAAAAAACTACTTACCTCAACCCAACTGTATAATCCACCTTCACATGCTATTCATAGATCTATTGAAGTAACACCTCCGCAGTCCCGATGACCCACTGCCCTGTCTCTCAACCACACTGTGGATTCGTGAAAATCTGGACTTATATTACCAGCAATTCTCAGTCATACTGACGAGTTTCCAAGGAACTTTTACCATCTCTGTTTCTCTGACCTTTGCTTTAAGGGCAAATTTAATGTGCTGAACATTTAGGCTATATTGATATTTCCCAGTTCGCGTTGCTTCACCACAAATGAAGAGAAGCATGCAAAGCATCATCAACCTTCAAAAAGGTTCTACAATCGTTAGCATCAGCTACATCAGCTTTCCACAGTGCAAGTGCTATTATTAACCTTAACTCCAGAGACAACAGAGCTGCCAGAAGTGGTGGTTCCTGGAGAGAAATCATTTATAAATGACTCAAGCAGGTTTTATGATTTTTAAAAACACTAACCGAATATTTTTCACTTTTATTAAGTCATATGGGTCTGTTTTATCCAATCCAAGTCTTATTTTCTGTAGTGTGAAAAAATTGTTTGGTTACCAAGACAACAAACAGAAGCCATGTTAGTTTTTTTTAAGGTCCAAATGCATATTTTGAAGTATTTGAATACCACAAAGTTGATTTGTGCTTCCATACTTTTTTCTGATAAATAAAACACATTTTTATAGTAATTCCAAATTTTGGAATGTTTTTTTTAATGTTTGACAGTGGTCTGTGTTGGAATAAATATTTATTGCATTTTATTGCAGTTTATGTTAGATTGTATTGATATCAGTGATTATTGATATATTGACCCAGATATATCAGTACTGATATTTTGGTCCCATTCCAGAGGAAAATACAATAGAAGAGACATGTGATTACTCGGATGATTTTTTCAAGAGAAAACTAGAAGTAGAAGACTAGAGCAAACATCCAAATTGCTCTCCATTGAATTTCAAATGGTGTCAAGGAGAACCATTGAAATATCAAAGATATAGGAACTGTGAGTTTTCTTTTTCATGTAGAAATCAAACAGGCATGCTTGTGTTGTAGTGTTTGGTTGACCAACTTTTTTATTCCTGAAGCTAATTACTGAATGAATAAAATGTGATTGCCAGTAATTAAAAAAAATGACTTTTTTCAGTTGATTGTTATTTTTCAATGATAATTACATTTTATTAATAATTCAATTCAATTACAGAGTTTACTGTCCATTTTTTGTTATACTTCAGTATTATATACCATATTTGTTAAGAAATTGGTCTTTGATTTGCATTATAATTTTTTTTTTCTTGGGCAAAAAGGGGAAAAAAAGTCATTTATCACAAACAAACTTTAAAAACCGATTTGGGGATGCAGTTGAACTTCAGCGCACATCGGTGGTTTATTGAGGGTTAAAACAGATTTTGATTGAGGAGTATTTCAGCACAACTTCAATAAGATCTTGAAAGACTTCAGCAGCTGCAATTGCTGTGGGGGGATAACAATTTGGATGCTATCATGTCCTACGGGTGACCCGCTGTGAGAAAAAGAAAGAAAAACAGAGAAAAAGCAGTTAAACTTTTTTCTATTCATTCAGTATTGAATTGCAGTCATAGCAGCACTGCTAAAAGACTGTCACAACAGCTCAATGTGTATAGAGGAGGGGGATGAGGGATCACTGACATTTATCTTCCATATTCTTCAGCAAACACAGAGAGAGATTGTGATGACAGACAAAAAAGAGGCAGAGAGAGAGGGCCAAGTGATTGGTGAGGTGTGTGTTTGAGCATATTTGTAAATAGGGGCGTGGTTTTACTGGAACAACAGATTCTCTTTCAAGGGAGCTGTGTCAGCACAAAAAGCTTTTTCACTTTATTGGAGGTCATATTACAGGTGCATCTCAATAAATTAGAATGTCGTGGAAAAGTTCATTTATTTCAGTAATTCAACTCAAATTGTTACACACAAACACACACTGAGTCATCTGAACATCTGTTTGGGTTAGGTGGAAACCTCTAACAGACTGGTTTCCCTGCAGCTTGATAGTCTCCAAAGCTATTTTTTCCTATTATGCCACGTACAAGCAAACACACAGTCCTACATAGTCACAAGTTTTGCCCTTGACATTCAGACTTACTACACCGCTTCTTTATTAAGCAGATCAGATTTGTCTTTCTGTCTGTTTTATACACCTGAAGTTCTTTCATTATTCCATAGGTAAACTGTTAAATACTGTACACATAATCAATATATTCTCATAGGCATGCTCACATTCTAATTTATTGAGATGCACCTGTATGTAGATACACACAAACACACACTGAGTCATCTGAACATCTGTTTGGGTTAGGTGGAAACCTCTAACAGACTGGTTTCCCTGCAGCTTGATAGTCTCCAAAGCTATTTTTTCCTATTATGCCACGTACAAGCAAACACACAGTCCTACATAGTCACAAGTTTTGCCCTTGACATTCAGACTTACTCTACACTGCTTCTTTATTAAGCAGATCGGACTGAACTATCTATCTGTCTTTCTGTCTGTTTTATATACCTGAAGTTCTTTCATCATTCCATTGGTAAACTGTTAAATATTGTACACCTAATCAATATATTCTTTAATCTGTCCACGTAAGGTGATGATCCCAAGGTCAGACTGACTGTTTGATTGGTTGATTAACAGATGCCTGAACTGACTGATTTCCCTCAGTGCATATGTGTACTCTCGCCTGTTTCAGAGCATGCCCTCCTCACCAAGAGCCCCTGTTCCCATAGAAACAGAGAACAGCTGGACTGTCAGACCAGGTGTGTTTGATTGACGGGGTCACACTAAGCTGTCCCAGGAGTGGAACTGGAGGTGGAGCCCCACAGTCTTTTGATCGGTATGATTTTTAGTTGCTGCTTAGTTTTGTGCCATGTACCTTTATTAATGATGCATAGCAACTCTAAACACCACTGGCTATGTAACAGCAGATATGTTCCATTTTATGTTTAATATTGATTGTTCAAAGGAAAAGCTGACCCTTAAATATGTTGCTATTGTATTTCAAATATTGTTTGTCACAATGCACTGAAATATTCTCATGATCTATGAGGTCATTGTGTGCTGAAGGTCAATTATGAGGTAGTTTAATGTATAATTAAATTATTT